TATATATATATATTATATATATATATGTTATATATATAGTATATATATTATATATATATTATATATATATATTATATATATATATTATATATATATATATATATATATATATATTATATATTATATATTATATATTATATATTATATATTATATATATATATATATATATATATATATATATATATATATATATATATTATATATATATATATATATATATATTATATATATATATATATTATATATTATATATATATATATATATTATATATTATATATATAATATATATATATATATATATATATATATTATATATTATATATATATATATATATTATATATTATATATATATATATATTATATATTATATATATATATATTATATTATATATTATATATATATATATATATTATATATTATATATTATATATATATATATTATATGTTATATATTATATGCTATATGTTATATGTTATATGTTATATGTTATATGTTATATGTTATAAATTATATATTATATATTATATATTATATATTATATATTATATATTATATATTATATATATATTATATATTGTATATATATATATTATATATTGTATATATATATTATATATTGTATATATATTATATATTGTATATATATATTATATATTATATATTATATATTATATATTATATATATATATTATATATATATATTATATATTATATATATATATATATAGATATATATATATACATATGTAAAATATATATAATATATATAATATATATATTGATAGATAGCCATATATGGAAACTGTTTGTAGTACCTGAGGTGCCAGTTGTGGTTCAATGAAAACGGCCATCTTCTTTTTGAGTTATGAGTGCAGATATCAACTTCATAGTAGTATGTAACCATGGAAGCCATAGACCGGAATGCTGCTTATTACTTTGCGATATGACAGGGCAGATAATTTTAGATAATTCATTAATGAGTGACCTAGATCTCTGCCATGGGTGTGTCACCCTCCCTTTTCATGTCAAGTCAAAGTCAATTGCTTGGTAAGGCAGAAGATAATGATGTCAGGCAGTTGTTTTGAAATTGGAATAGCATGCTTTGGTCTTGGTGTTGCCTGTTGAGTGTAGCCTTCCTATGATTACTGATTGTCACATCTTGTTTTATTTTTAGTTTGTTAATGTGACATAATGGCTGCAAGACCAAAGCTCTCATGTCATATAGTTGTAAATGAAATTATAGAATATAGAATGCTTTTCTTATCACCATCTGCTTTGGTTGACTGAAAATGTTTTTTTTCTTTTTTTGACTATTAGGGGAAAGGTTTTTGAAATACATGCTTGTTTTTCACCAAGCTGAAGGTTTGATATACTCCCTTGCACACACAAGTAATATTTGTGTACTACATATTTAGGGTGTGAAGTAGGCTCATGACATACATACTTTGTCATTATTAGGCTCATGACATACATACTTTGTCATTATACTGGAATATTTGCTTATAATAAGCATTTTGATCAAAACTGGCAATGAATAACCTTATTATATTGACATAAGTTGTTTAGCAGTCTCTAACAGTTTGTGCATGTGAGCATTATAATGTCTCCTTATTTGATAAGTAGTGAGGCTATTGACTGGGCTCTGCTGCATGGGTTGGTTCCAAGGCAGAAGCATCGAAAAGAAGTGTTGATTTATTTATGTTTTTAGGTATTGATGATTGTGACCGACTCTTTCTGGCTTCATGTAATGCCCAAAGTGAAATATTTTTTCTAGTTGAATTGAATCAATATTGGTTACTGTAATAGACTGTGTGTCACGTTACCCAATAGATTAAGGGATATAAAAACTTGTTCCATAAAAGATATCACTATATATACACACAGAAGCTTCAAATATGTCAAAACTGCTTTCTGGACACGAACAGTGATGTTTACATTTTATATTAAGAATGAATATACTATATATGTCACTACAATCTTTGATTTTTATAAAAATTATCGAATCATCTTGACTTCCTTTGGTGGCAGAATGTTATCTTTTATCAGTTACGCAACTTCATAAAAGTCACAGGCATGCTAGTGTGCCAAAGTACTATGATTTTTTAGGTGTTGTTTTGCATTCATGCATTACTAAATTCCAAACCATGAACCCAGTGACCTTGATTGACAAAAATGCATGTCATGTCCACTGTGATTTTAGATTATTAATTGTATTTACACAGAGATGGCTCCACACTTGCTGAGTCACCAAGGAGTCTGTTATTATTTGCTCCAATCCCACCTGCATTCTGTTTTCCTTGTTTTTTTGGAAGAACCTTTAGTTTTTATTCCTTTTATTGCTTTTTGTATTTTGATAACATTTTAATAATCATTAAGTTGGTAAAGATGAAGATGTTAATATTAATAATGTTGATAATAATCACAGTTTTGAAATCAGTAGCAGTAGGAAAAAATCCTGAATATGCAAGGAATGGGGAATTAATGGGCCTGCTAATTGACTCAATGGTGGCTGAGCACTTTAGAGCCATCTGCGTGCAACAAATTTCTCTAAAAACTACAGTGGACAGTAGATCAACCCAAGAATTAAGATATAACAATGTTTGGTTGGTAGCGTGACCTAACAGGGTAAAAGGAAGGAAAAGATTGTGATGTTGAAAGCAGAAAATCAGTTGTGATCTCCCAGTGATTCCTAAATCTTTTTGATGGAGGATTTTCAGAACTAAAAGCTCTGCTGCATATGTATTCTTATATTAGTTTTTCAAACACAAAAGAGTTTTTCAAGTAATTATTGTTGCATTTAACTGTAAATACTACATTGTTATTGCATCAGGTCTTTTGCCCTATTAGTTTACCTTGTGTCATGAACTGCAGGCTTTATGTTCATTAGTAAATAGTATATACTGTTTTTTGAGACATTTGCACATGCATCCATGCACGCACACAGGCACAAGCACATGCACATATAATATGTATATAGATGTGTATATATACGTGTGTGTATGTTTGTGTTGATGCGTAAATATGTAAATATATGTAAATATATATGTATATGTATATATATATTTGTATGTATATGTATATATATTGTATATATATGTATATACAAATATATGTACATTATATGTTATAATATAATATATACATATATGTATACATATATATGTAGACATGTATATATACTGTATACATACATGTATACATTAGTATGTATGTATACACAAATATATATATGTATACATATGTATATGCATACATATACATATGTGTGCATATGTGTACATTTATACATATATGTATATGTGTATATACATATATGTACTATATGTATACATATATGTATGTATTCATATTTACACATCTACATGTATATTTATGTATACATGTATACACATACATATGTATGCATACTTCTATGTTTAAATATGTATACATATATATACATTATATGTATATATGTATATGTATTTGTATATATGTGTAGAATATGCATATATATATATATGTATATATAGGTAGATATAGATAAATATATACATATTTACACATACATATATAAATGTATTGCAAAGAGTAGACAAGAAGTTTTGATAGAGGGTATGAGTGTTCATATATTTAAAGTAATTTTTGTGTATGGATGTCTCCTTTACAAATATGTTAACCCTTTACTTCGAGATGGCATGTAAGTTGTGCCATGTTGAGAAAGGCCTTGCTCGGAACGTATATTATGCCTATTATCTCACTCATTTCAACTCTAAGGACTGCTCTGTGGTGGCCAGATATTTTTATGAATTCATGTTAAAGAACAGCACCAAGGTCTTACTGTAGCACATTTAAGTGTTAAAGCCTCTTACCAGGTCTTTATTGATGAATATCTGGCATGAAATCGTACATGCTGGTTACTCGTAGGGGCACGCTGCGATTTTTATGTACAACCTCATATTTTAACCCATTCGCCCCATGTGGCAAGAATATATGCCATGCCCACTGTAATACATGTTTATTTATTGTATTTACACATAGATGGCTCTACAAGTTCATAATCACCAAATAGCCAGTTATCAGAACTACTTGTCTCACTTGTTTACCCTTTTTCTTCACTTTAGGAAAGGTTCTTTTGTATCATTTCATTGTCTAAAATATTTTAATGACAATTTAATAATCATAACATCAATAACAATAATAACAGTATCGATAACAATGGTATTAATAAGGAAAACACATTTTCCCGTCAATTTAAGTAATGATAAAATCAGGATCGGTAACTAGCCGGCTGAGCACATGTGGAGCCATCTGTATGTAACAAAATTCACCAAAAACTACAGGTGAGAGAACATAAATCTGGGGCGAATGGGTTAAGCTATTTGGCATTGTAGTTGTCCTGGAGCTTTGAGTTGATAACTATGTGAGACAGAGTGATATGATATTGATTTTTCTTTTATCTTTGAAAGAGGAACAAAAGTATCATACAAAAATTCATTCAAACTCACTGAACATCAATTTGTTACTTGTCTCGAAAATCATGATATCAGATTTGGGATATTAATAATTTTGTAGAACACACAGCAAGGTACTCTTGGCAGATACTAAGCTTATGTTTTACGAAACCTTTTTTACACTGGCATATATGTATTTAGTTTCCCTGTTGTTGCTGTATATTATAATAAGAGTGGGTATATTGTCAATATTGATATTGACTGGTTTTATTGAAGAGGATTATTACAGATATTTAAGAAATAGTTTATACAAAATACATTTTTTCTCTTGTATACGAAGATATTTTTTATATTTTACTATTTGTTTTACTGCAAGTGTATTGTTTTTATGTTACTCTGTCACAGTTTGAATATGATAACAAGCTTTTAATTCTTGCATGGCACTGAGCGGGTGGGGCTTTGGACATTAATTGTCCTCCGAGTAAAGACACTTAAATATATAAAGTTATAAATTTCCATAGTTTGAAGTCTTGAAGATTACATATATCTGACAAAGCAAATGTGGCAAAGATAGATTCTGCAAAAGTAATAGTTTTGCAATAGCTTGAAGAGTAAATAATGAAAACTTTGCATAATTCTACCATTTGTGAATCTTATTTTGTCAGGTTTTCTTGTCCTAAACGTACATTTTTTGGAAAGGTTAAACTTTTAATTTAGATTGGTTACTTTATACTGTTTCTTGTTCAAATTATACATTACCACATATTCCTAGTACATGCTTATGTATGTTCAGTGCAATATATCCTAATTCACGCATGGCTTTTCCCCACAGAGGGTGTGATGGCAGGAACCGAGGGCATCATGCACGGCACCCTCTACAGCGCAGCGAATGGCCAGCTCTCTGGCACCACGGCTCCCGGGGCCTCCTCCACAAACACTACCAACTCTCTCAACCATAGCTCACTAAACGGCGTCATGCCCCTCAACAGCATGGCCATGTCCAATGCTTGCCAGTATGAGAGCAGCAAGCTGGACATGCAGGAGAACAAGGAGTGGTTTGGGGCGACAGGGGGCGGAGTCGAACACCTGGACCAAGCACAAGCGGAGACCCAGATAAAGGAGGAAGTACAAGAGGTGAGACGCGATGCCTGGAGCTCTCTTTAGGTCTGATTCGAGTTATTTTCATTCACTGTAATAAATTTTGCTCAGATGTGCCGTTTTGTTTTGTTTTTAAGAGATTATGTGAAGACTATATGAAAGATGGTAATTATGAAGATGCAGAGAAAATAGTTTTTTGTGGTATGGCAAGTTATTTTGAAATTTATATTTTTACTGAGTCCATTGATGCTGGGTATATGTGTTGGTCACTATAATTTTAGTTATTGATTTTTAGTTCTTAGATGTAAAGGTAGGAAATACGTAAAGTTCATTTACATATTTGTAAAGACAGATGTAAGCAAGCATACATGTTTGTATGTGTGTAAATATATGTATAGTATATATATATTTATTTATTTGTTTTTTATTTATTTACTTATTGGTTTATTTATATATTCATTTATTTTTTAAAAAATGTGGGATATGTTATGTTAAAGATACTTACAAAAATGACTGATTTTGCTGTTTGTCCTCAGGTTGATGATAGTGCACCAGTTATAGATATTATGATCAACAATGTGGTGTGCTCCTTCTCTGTTGCATGTCACATTGACCTGCAACATGTAGCCCGGTTTGGTCATAATGTCGAATTCAGGAAAGAGAACGGAGTAAGTTTTTGTTCACTTTATAATTGTTCCAGAAAGTATGGAGAAAGTGCCTGTGTTGGTCCTTTTTTAATATTGTTCTTAACCCATTGAAACATCAGTGTCCACTGTTATTTGCTTTGTTAATTTTAGTTATATATTGGAGGCTCATCAGGCATCAGTGGGACCCCACCTGTTTACCCTATTTCTAGAAGTAAAAAAAAAAAGAAAAAAAAAAATTGTTAGTGATATTGGTATTGTTATGAAGCCATCTATTTGTAAATTGAATAAAGAAACTAAAATCTCATTGGACATGGCCTATATATCTGCCCTCCTTGCCTCAGCCATTTCAAGAAAAAGCACTGCATGAAAGAGTTCCCAAGTATCAGCCAATTGCTACGAATTACTCTTGGAACATATAATTTAGAAAAGTAAAGGCAGCTTTGGGTGCTTCTTTTATATCATGTGCAAAATCTGGAAGGGTAATGTACTGTAACTTCAAACTCGTGCTAGGAACACCCAAGTCATGCTGTAGCTGTTCTTTGTGTTTGTAGTTTCAAACAATTGGACAGAGGAATGCATGGTGAGGTAAATTTTGTGACCTTTGTATGACAAAAGGTTCTGAATAATTGTTTGACACTGCACAATATTTATCCCAACAATGATGGGCATCTCACTGGTGAGATGGCCTAAAAATGTACAGCTCTACATCCATGTGCTGCTGACAGTGTTTGTTGGATTTTTTTAGACACCGATGGTTCCAGAAGCATTTAGTCTCCATGGAGTCAATTACAAAGCCTATTTTACTGCATTACTTACCCATTCCTTGCATTTTCATATATATATATATTTTTTAATAGTAGGGATGAAATTGATAATATAAGTAATGATTCTGTTAGTCAACCCATTTTCTGAAAATTCAAGTAATAGTTTAACCAGGTAAGAGCAGTTGGCTCCTTGGTGCCTAAGTGCTTGTGAAGCTGTTTATGTATAAACAAAATTTGAATCAAATGGCAGTGGACAGTGGATATACCATTGGGTTAGGTTAATAATTTCCTCATAATTTTGGGTATGTGATTATACCCTTTTGCCCTCTTCTTTTAAACCTGCATTTACCCGTTTGATCTAGGTTTCTCACTGCCTTCACTTGGCCCAAAATCCAGTGATGACTCTCCTGTGTTTGGTTTGCAAGTCCAGCCTACATGAGTCCAGGCTCTACCTTGCCTCCTTTTTGCAATAATGATCACAATATATAACTTATTTTTTGTATAGTTTTAAAATATGTTTGTTATTCAATTTTCTGTAACATGCCCTGCACCACTGGTTATGACGGACAGGAATAACATCTGGAAAATGGAAATTGTGTCCACCCTGGATCTGGCACTCTTCCATCCATGGCTCACAGTTGGTACATTCCCTCTTCCTTTACCAGTGGAAATATGGCAAGAGTCCCTTTTTAAATGCCCACTGAGTCGTATCTTTCTCCAAAGTCTTTCTGAACTCAGGTTGTCATTTCCGTCACTCAGGCCTTATGCAGAACTTTTCATGACATTAGATTCCCGTCACCCCAGCCCTTGGTCAAAATTTTCAATGGCAGAATGTTCCCAATTTTTTTTTTTATGGCATGATGGTCATGTCATGGATCCAATGAGTTCAGAATTATAGTAAATGCTGATGTTAGTGCAGAAAGGCTGATTCTAAATGAGTGGGAAATAAAGGTAAAAGAAGGGAATCCATTTTGTCCCTGAACTGCTGCTGATACAATAAAAATGAAAATTTTATAGAAGTAAGGTATTATAAAATAATGATCCTACTATCATGGGCTCTAATTCTTGTTTTTATGTTCTATTAGAATTATATATGCTCTTGTACAAAAGTAACACTTTGTGTATCTAAGAATTTTGCTTATTGATTCTCTACTTGCCCACCTTGCAAGACATTTTAATGATTGTCCCATTAGATAGGAAATACTTAAAAATGGTGATTGTTTAGCCCTTGATCAAAAAGGGAGTTTCGTTGACGTTAAACTGAAATCAATCAATCACAGCTTTAGAGATTGATATATATTTTTATAGAATATTAATGAGATATTATTTTCCACAGATGGTAACCATGAAATTACGAAAGCCTTTAACTACCGCCTCTATTTGGTCATCGGGAAAAATCACCTGTACAGGTAAGAGCCCTATAGATGTTCTTATATTGTATTTTTTTGGTTAATTGATCTTCAGATATCACTGTCTTCAGATAATTACTATTAGGGTATTCCACCTCCAATGATTCCAAGCAATTAATTGAATTCTTTTGAGAAACCAAATGGCATTGTCTTGATTCTTAATTTTATAGTGCCTTAATCCACCTTGTGATGTTATAGGTATTTCAGTATACTAAAGCAAGTAGACTGGTGTGAAATTACCATTTTAGTTAATTGAGGGGACCATCCCTGAGCGGAAAGGATAGAGGGTCATTTGGAGTTAGCTGGCCCATAGCATCTGTCCATGAATAAAGAAACTACCAAACGACTGTTAGAGCCCAACTTGGTTATTTCTTGGGAGGAGCAAGGGCATAAGTGCCAAGAGGCCAAACTATGTACATGGGTAATTCGAACCAGGGACACCTATGTAGACTTGCTTATTGCAAACGTGCATATAGCATTTGATAATGACATTACCCAAAGATAGGATTTTGTGAATATCCAAAGAACACTTTTATACAAATATCAGAAAAAATGAAAATTGCATTGATTTATGATGAAATATTTTGTGCATATTCACATATGAAGTATATTCTCTGTCAAGACTTCCCAGTAAAATACTGTAGCTTATAAAGGGTCTGTATGTGTACCGAGTATGAAGTACTAACGTAAAAAAAATAAAAGTATAAAGGATAACATTTAGGTTTGGCTTCGCTCTAATATTTTGTACCATACACTGTCTTCAAATTTGTTTTGATTTGAAATTTTTTGTTTCTGTCATTAAGAGCACTTCAATATGAAGTGCTTATTTGGAAGCAGAGTTTTTAATTCCAGGAAAAGACACAGGAATATCAAAAAAAAAAAAAAAAAAAAAAAAAAAAAAAAAAAAAAAAAAAAAAAAAAAAAAAATTATAAAATAAAATATTGAAGCAACAACTGATTGACTTGACAATAGTACAAGAAATTACTTTTTTTATATATATCTATAAAACATCATTAGGTTTAGTGATAAACGTTGGAGAGAGTTCCAATTTCTAGTGGCCTCTCCTCAGTTCTGTGCTTACACAAGTGCTCAATGGTACAACCAGCGGTTGTAATTTTTGTGCACCTTAAAATCATTTGATTGCCTTTGCAATGGCATGGGAATGCAAAGGGCATGTTAGAGCCTGACTTTTAAATTTTAACAACCCTCCAGCATGACATAGATTACATGAAACTAAAAAACATTCCAAAAATAGTTTATAATAGCAGACAGTCCTCACCAAAAAATGTATTGAAATAAAAAAAATTGGGCTCTGATGCACCCTGTGCATAGAGTTGATATAGCTGTTGAATGTTTTTTAGGTAATTCAGGGAAAAAGTACGATCATTGACTGTTAAGAAAAAAACAAAAAAAATTATAAAATAAAATATTGAAGCAACAACTGATTGACTTGACAATAGTACAAGAAATTACTTTTTTATATATATCTATAAAACAACATTAGGTTTAGTGATAAACTTTGGAGAGAGTTTCAATTTCTAGTGGCCTCTCCTCAGTTCTGTGCTTACACAAGTGCGCAATGGTACAACCAGCGGTTGTAATTTTTGTGCACCTTAAAATCATTTGATTGCCTTTGCAATGGCATGGGAATGCAAAGGGCATGTTAGAGCCTGACTTTAAAATTTTAACAACCCTCCAGCATGACATAGATTACATGAAACGTCCCAAAAATAGTTTATAATAGCAGACAGTCCTCACCAAAAAATGTATTGAAATAAAAAAATTGGGCTCTGATGCACCCTGTGCATAGAGTTGATATAGCTGTTGAATGTTTTTTAGGTAATTCAGGGAAAAAAGTACGATCATTGACTGTTAAGAAAAAAAAAAAAAAATTATAAAATAAAATATTGAAGCAACAACTGATTGACTTGACAATAGTACAAGAAATTACTTTTTTATATATATCTATAAAACAACATTAGGTTTAGTGATAAACTTTGGAGAGAGTTTCAATTTCTAGTGGCCTCTCCTCAGTTCTGTGCTTACACAAGTGCTCAATGGTACAACCAGCGGTTGTAATTTTTGTGCACCTTAAAATCATTTGATTGCCTTTGCAATGGCATGGGAATGCAAAGGGCATGTTAGAGCCTGACTTTAAAATTTTAACAACCCTCCAGCATGACATAGATTACATGAAACGTCCCAAAAATAGTTTATAATAGCAGACAGTCCTCACCAAAAAATGTATTGAAATAAAAAAATTGGGCTCTGATGCACCCTGTGCATAGAGTTGATATAGCTGTTGAATGTTTTTTAGGTAATTCAGGGAAAAAGTACAATCATGGACTGTTAAGAAAGAAAAAAAAAAACAAAAACAAAAATAACCCAGAATAGGATGAGGTCACCAGGTCTATTAACCCAATGGTGACGGGTGAAGAAAACAAAAAAAAAAATTCTACGCTCTGGCAAACAATGGCGGCGTGCCGACTTTGAGCACGTGAGTTCGGTACATCAGCCCAAATCACTGGCTCACCATGCTTTGGTGTGCCGCCGCGGCGTACAGATGCACTCCAACTTTCGAGCGGTTTGTTTTTCACGCCTATCGGTGTCACCCGTCGGGAAGGGGTTAATTGACTCCTTGGTAGCTGAACACTTGTGGAGCTGTGTTTGTGTTAAACACACTCCACAAAATGAAACTAATAGTGAACATTATATTTTCCAATGGGTTAAGGAGGTGCAGCAGATTAAAAGTAGACATTAAATCTTTTTTGCATTATTTCTTAACCCCTTGGTGAAGGGTTAAGAAAACTAGAAAAAAAACTCTATGCTCTGGCGATCAATGGCAGTGAACCGACTTTGAGCGCGGGAGTTCGGTACATCAGGCTGAATCACTGGATCACCGTGCTTTGGCACACCGCCGTGGCGATCAGCTGCATGCCACATTTCAAGCAGTTTGTTTTCTTGCCAATAGGCGTTAAAGAATAGTGTATGCCGCATCCAAAAGCACAAAAGCTTTTCTATTTTTCTATCTGTGTAGTTAAGTATGACATGGGGAATTCTGTCATAAATGTGTGAAAAGTAGACAAATACTAGTACAATTAGCAGTTGTCAAAATTGATCCTATGACTACTTGTTCTGTCTCTCCATTTTTACATGTAGATTGTCTCTCATCTGGAAACTGACAAGTCCCCCTTCCATGGGTGGTGGTCCTATGTGCATGGAGGTTTTGTTGGTTGAGTGGAATATTGAAAATACATTTTCATACTGACAGAGTACCTGATGTCTAGGGGTTAAAGACCCTAACCAACACTTGAGTTTCAGCTGCTTAATTTTTGGTGTATATTTGCTTTTCAGTATGAGATATATGTTTCTGAATATTATTTGGTAAAGGGTTATTTTCCATTTGGATGTGCTTTGTTTTCTAATTGGAGGTATAGTAAAGTTGATAGGGAAGTAGTAGTTAGTATCTCGCACAAAAGGGAAAATCAAGCGTTACATGGCTGGTTAGCAGTTATCCTTGAGGCGAAGTGTCTAATGTGGTATGATCATCCCCAGGGTCGACATCAGAACTACAAGCCAGAGTCGCTGCCAGGAGAATCGCTCGACGTATACAGAAATTGAACTACCCAGCAAAGTTCCGTAATTTCCGCATTGTCAATGTCCTTGGAACGTGTACAATGCCCTTTAGTATAAAGATCACTCAGTTTTCACAAAAATTTAGAGAAGCAGCAAGGTATGTGATTTTAGTTTTTAGTTTTATTTTGTCTTGTTTACAATTACTTTGAAATTTTAGTAATTGTTAATATTGGTTAGGTAGACTGTTGCTAATTTTGCAAAGAATGATATTCTTAACTGTAAGTGATATATCTTGGTGTTTTTTTTATTCACCGTAATGTTAAGTAAAAAATGTTAGATTTAGTATTAACCTGTCATCACCATATTCTAATATATATATATGTGTGTGTGTGTATGCACACACACACACACACACACACACACACACACACACACACACACACACACACACACACACACACACACACACACACACACACACACACACACAGATATATACACAGATATATACACAGATATATACACAGATATATACACAGATGTATACACAGATGTATACACAGATGTATACACAGATGTATACACAGATGTATACACAGATGTATACACAGATGTATACACAGATGTATACACAGATGTATACACAGATGTATACACAGATGTATACACAGATGTATACACAGATGTATACACAGATGTATACACAGATGTATACACAGATGTATACACAGATGTATACACAGATGTATACACAGATGTATACACAGATGTATACACAGATGTATACACAGATGTATACACAGATGTATACACAGATGTATACACAGATGTATACATACACAGATGTATACACAGATGTATACACAGATGTATACACAGATGTATACACAGATGTATACACAGATGTATACACAGATGTATACACAGATGTATACACAGATGTATACACAGATGTATACACAGATGTATACACAGATGTATACACAGATGTATACACAGATGTATACACAGATGTATACACAGATGTATACACAGATGTATACACAGATGTATACACAGATGTATACACAGATGTATACACAGATGTATACACAGATGTATACACAGATGTATACACAGATGTATACACAGATGTATACACAGATGTATACACAGATGTATACACAGAT